GTCTCATGTTCATTTCATATTTCAACATTTGTTCATCACTCCATTCATTTATTATGTAAAAAAATATAAAAAAAATTGTTTTAACCACTTAAATTAATTTTATGTTCTTAATGTTTGTAAAAGATAGGAGGGGATAGTAATCATTTTGCTATTTTAGAATTATTTTATTGTTATGTTCATTCCAACTGAAATTTGTTCTAGTTAAACCTTAATGTTAAGTTTGTTAGATTTTTGTTTCAACTCAATTTCATCTCAATATTTGTTATTTGCTGTATAAAGTTAAATATATTTTTCGTCATTTAGCGAAAATATGTCATTAAAAATTTAATTACATATTTTCTGAGGGGATATTGTAATGACTCAAAATTCAATGTTTATAATTATAGTCCTTATTTTAATTTCAAACTCAATCTTGTTATATTTTCAATATTTATCCATGTCCATTGTTAATATTATTAAAACCATATTGTCTCAACATATATATAATTTAAAATCAAAAATTTATTCATTGGCTTATTCAAAAATTATTATTAAAAAACAAATCCTCCAATCAGAACACCATCCATCTGGGTTCAAGATTATTAATAAAATTCAACCATGTTTTTATTTATGTGAACCCCATAACTTGATATGATTTACAACAATGAAAAGGGGTGTGCAGTTTAAAAGCATCCAAGAAGAACATAAAAGTTTAAACTCTTAATTGTGAAAATAATTGTCATATTATAAAAGAAAGTAGTGTCAAAATTTCCAAATTTTACTGAAGAAAGAAGAATTTAAGCCTTTAAACTAAGAAGAAAATTATTATTACAGAAGATTGGTGAGAACATTCCATTTTTATTAAGTTATTGACTCAGACTAGACTCTTCAAGCATCCATTTGGACCCAATTTACCTCTCTTAATTAAAATCAAAATCCTTCCTATTTAACTCATTGTTTCTAAAAGATTATTTAATTCATAACTTACCATAACTTACTTACTTATTGAAAATTTAAATTTGAAATCTTTTGATTCGGCCAGCACGAATCCCCACCCCTGAAAAATTTGTGTAACCCTATTTTAACCATTTAACTTATGTACCATTAAACCTTGTACTTTAAAACCTCTGTCCTTGTAATTATTATTGTTTAACTAAGATAAGATTAGAATACAAACCATATTAAGGGTTTATTTCAGTTTGTTTCCCATGTTAATCTTATGGAGAAATACAAAACTTTAAAGGGTCCCAGGGCCTCACTCTCTAATTATTTCCCTAAAAAGAAAGTTTCCTGCACAGCTTCACGTTATGCTCTTTCCAATGACACAAAAAACTTGTCAATTGGTTTAGTACGAGCCTAGGCTCTTATCCTGAATTTTTCAGAATTATTTTTAGATATAATTTTGTGTAAACAGTAACATAAAACCCCTGCTGCAGCAAACCTCCATACTATGTGAATTTCCATTTGCCTGATTATACATAACTAGTGGAACCCCGTCGAAATGGACGGTTAATCTTGCGGTTTTATGTAAATTCAGCTAACTGCGATAGATAGAGTGAAGTCATTAAAATCTAAGATAAATGAAGGGAGGATAAGCATAATAATAAGTATGACGATTGTGTTCCCTAAAAAACGTGATTGTTGAATTCGTTTAACACAATATTTCCTTTTTTTTTTTTTTTTTTTTCAAGAAATTTATTTACACAATAATTGCCAATACATATGATACAAAAGTGCAAAAACCACAAATGGTTTGTCTGCACTAAAAATATTGTTTGTTATTTACCATACAGTTTTGTCAGTTTGAATCAGTAGCATGCAGTTTTATGAGTTCTTAATTGTCTCTTGAGTAATTAATAACAAAAAAAAAAGACAACAAAGACACAAATATCTGTAAAAATTCAACAGTAACAATAACAAATAAACTATTGGAATAAATAATAATAATATATTACTTTAACTTAAACTAAAAATGTAAATAAATTAAATGCATAATTGTAATAAATTAAAATTGTAACAAATCATTCCAAACAAGTTTCTTTAAAAATTGTTTAAACATGCTATAACTATTTGCAAAAACCATATGATTTGTGAGGTTATTAAAACATTTGGGAACAAAAACTTCAAGTGTTCTACTTCCATACTTATTCCTGTGCTTTGGTACAAAATAATAATTCCTTCTAACATCATATGGGTGATTATTGACTATTTTCAAGCTGTCATCAAATAAATGATCAGTGGATATCAAAAAAATATATAACTTACTAACAGGTAGCAGTCTAACAAAATGAAAAATCTTTATAATTGGTAACTGCTTAATGTGCACTGGAACAATACATTTGAGCGCTTGCTCCTGCAGATGCTCAATTTTCCTCAGAGAAGTCTTTGAAGCATTGCCCCATGCTCTCACACCATATCTTAATATTGATTCACACAATGACTGGTAAATCACCAATAGCACATTAAATGGCAGGACACTTTTTAAATAAAAAATTTTGCAAACACATGATCTGATTTTTTTACAAACATAATTAACATGTATATCCCATTTAAAATTGTGGTCAACATGAACCCCTAAATATTTAAAATCATGCACATTCTCTAAACTCTTACATTGACAACTTTTTGGGATAAGTGAGTAAGTATGATTATGTAAACAATCAAAATTATGGTAAGTAATGCTTACATTAGAACATTTAAATGCAGGTGAATGCACATGCATGACCTTGGACTTTTTGTCATTTATTACCAATCCATAATCATGACACCATTCTAAAAGGTTGTTAACAGCATTCTGCATATTTTTTTCTGCCTCTATTATATTTTTGTTTGATACGACAATTGCAGTGTCATCCGCGTACCTACATAAAAACCGTGGCTTCTTTAATATATTTTGGGAGTGTATTTGCATATATTATATATAAGATTGGGCCCAAAATACTTCCTTGAGGTACCCCAGAAAAAAGTTCTGCCTCTTCACTAAATGTACTATGCACTTTTACAATAATTTTTCTGTTTTTCAGATAGTCTCTAAACCATTCTAAAAACCTGCCAGAAATTCCTATGTCCTTGAGTGCTGTCAATATTTTATCAAACTGCAGTGTATCAAAAGCTTTAGTAAAGTCTATAAAAGTTACTATTACTTGATTGCCCTGCCCTAATTCTTTGTTAATATTGTTAGAAAAATTTTTTAGCAATAACTCTGTACTTTTGTTTTTCTGGAAACCATACTGACTTTTATTTATAACATCATTTTCTGCTAAGTATTTATTTAAATTGTGTGCAATGTACCTTTCCATTATTTTATCTATTGAAGAAAGAATAGATATTGGGCGATAGTTCTGGTATGAATTGTGGCAACCTGATTTATAAACAGGTCTTATAATAGCAGTTTTTAGCAGAGTCGGCATTCTGCCTTCATCAAGTGATGCATTTATTATATTAACCAGCACTTCAGCGGCTTCTAAATTACACTTTTTTAAATCACATACTCTTATTCCATCTATACCGGGGCTATTTTTCTTTAATTTTACAATAATATCTTCAATATCTTTTCTATTGGCTTTGGGGATGTACAAACTCTTAATATCTCCTAATTTAACCTCATCACTGTCCAATCCCATTAGTTTCTTATCACATTTATGAACTATGCTATTTATTTCTAATGTAAAAGTATCAGCAAACTGATCACATATTTGTTTTAATGTTCCGACTTTACCAACCATATATTTATTCATTAATTCATCTACATTTTGTTTTTTATTCCTACCCATCACTTGATTTATTTCCTCCCATGTCCTCTTTATATTGTTTTTATTTTCCTCAAAAATATCCCTATAGTATTTTATTTTGGCTTTCAAAATATCTTTATTAATATTATTCCTCAACTGTCTATACTCGGTTGCTAAATAAATATTCTGTGGATTTTTTTTCATTTGTTTAAATAACCTATCCCTTCTTTTTATTTTATTTAGTATGTCCCAACTCAACCAAGCTTTTCTAGGATGTTTGTGCCTTACATTCTGCACTATTTTAGCTTTATTATATATGAAGTTGAAAGTATTACATAAGGTAAACTGCATCAGACGAAAAAGGTTGTACATTTTTAATTGGTATCCAGTCTATATTTTTAATGCCTTGGTCAACTAATTTAGCATTCAATCTCAAGTTTTGCAATAAATCAATATTATGACTACCCATTCTCTCTCTCGGTTGTACATTCACCAAACAAGGATAATGATCAGATATTTTCAGTTTAGTGACAACAGACTTTGGCCTCAAGTTGTTTCCTCTAAGATAAATATGGTCGATAAGGGATCTAGACAGCCTACCTTGTCTTATCTCTTCCCTAGTGTATTGGTCTATACATGAAATCAAGCCATTGGCAGCCATCAGGTCTTTATATGCATTCACAGTGCAGCAAAACTTGTTCATCAAATTAATGTTAACATCTCCAAGTGTAATAAAATATTTAGATTTAGTGCTCATAATTACTTCACTTAACTCTGTAATAAAAACTTTCTCATTGGTTCTCGGAGGTTTATAAATAGCTAATATACAAAAGACTAGATTAGTTTGTTTACATTCTATCTCTAATAACATATGTTCAAAACTTTCTTTAGCCAAAATAATAGAATTTTTTACAGAAAATTTATTTTTAACAAAAACACAAATACCTCCACCTTTACTGTTCACTCTTAAATTAAAATAAACATTATAACCATTTAAGTTAAACATATCTACTAAACTCTCCTTTATATTTACTTCTGTCAAAACAATTACATCCAGGTATTTTAAACTAGTGTCAAACAACAAAATGAACTCATTCCAATGTTTTTTAAGAGATGCAATATTTAAATGAAAAAAGGTTAAACCATTATCAAAGTTGTGTTTCTTTGCGCAAATTATTAATTCTGCTATGTCTTGGCAGCTAACTGATTTTATCTCATCATCATCATTTATAGCTTCAGCCATCTAGAAGTACTGTATGCCATAATGTAATTACTAAACTATAATACAACTTACTTAATTTTAACTAAATCTTCCTCTGTATCAATTACTATGACCTTGGAATTATCTTCCTTCCTCACCCGAACCGCTCCATATTTATACCAGATGTACTTATAGTTGAGACTCTTTGCCTTATCTTTAGCCGTCTTCAATAGGTTTCTGTAGTAAAAGGAAAGATTTTCGCTGATGTAGATTCTTCCACCATGATGTCCTGTAACCTCTGCATTTGTTACAACTTTCTTCCTAGCCTCCAATAACCTATTACGTACTTTTCTGTTGGCAAACTGTACAATTATATTAGCAGGCCGTTGTTCAGTTTTTGTTTTAGGTAAACGATGAGCAATTTCAATGTCCCTCTCCTCTAACTGCACCCCAAACTTTTCGGCAATTTTCATAACCACTTCTTCAACATTCTCACCTTTAACTTCCGCTACCTCATTCACCTCCAAATTTTTATTTCTTCCATACTGCTCAAGTTTATTCACCTGTATTTTCAGCTCCAAGATCTCCTTATCCTTCTCTACCAGAGTTTCACGTAACTTTTTTAACTCTTGCTCCATACTCGGCAAACATTTTAATGCATTTTCAAATTTATCATACTGGTCTGACAAAAAATCTTGACTAGCCCTGATCTCAGCGGTAGTCTCCTTTAATGTCTCCAACCCTGAAGAGATATTGCGAATAAGGTCTAACTTTTGATTCACACTTTTTAAAATATCTTCAGTACTATACCCAGGGAACCCTTCCTCAGTACCTTTCTCGACAGAAGTTATTTCTTGTGTAGACGAACCTGAAGGTTTTTTCTCATTTTTTAATCCCTTGCACTTTAGACAAAACCATTTAGCCTTCGCATCCTCAGACATTTTACTGAAAACTGACTCCCTTAATCCAGTGCAATGATAGTGAAATATTTTTTCACAAGTAGGCCGAACACATTTAATAACTTCTTTTATTTCTAAAATAGGCTCTTTACACTGGTCACATGCCATTTTATTATTAGTTTTTGATAAATTTAGTGGATAAACAAACAAATAGAAATGAAAGACCAGACAAACTCTTAACTGCTTCACCAGTTTCTAAATATAGTTTTTTTGTAGAAAGAAAACAATAATTAATTAACTGAGTATAATTATTTATTATTTTTTGCTTAGATCTTCAGGTAGATTTGAGTTTAAAAGAAATATGAGGAATATATTAAATCCTAACCTCTAAAAGTTGAAGAAACAAGCAAAACAACACAGAACAAGACAAGACATCCACTCACTCTGACTGCTGACTACTGACTGATCCTACTTTTTTATCGGATTTAGGTTGCCCAAAAGGTTTTTTAGGAGTCTTTATAATTGTTTGTTCATGAGTTTGTTTCATGTCAAAGCCACTTTCACTATATGGGAGAATGAGTTCATATAATTAGTCTATCATGTTACGGAAAGAGTCAATATTTATTACTAACAACTAATTCCATCTGCTTTAGAAAAATCATTCAGATTGAATCCAGATTTATAAGTAAATCTTCATCTTTGGTCATAAAAATACAGAATTTTTTCAGCATTTAAATAAGTTTTTTTTTTGTATTTGATAAAAATATCTGATTCTCCAGATAGTAGTAACATTCTTACTTCGATCTAAGCAATTTTAATTCCTTCTCTTGCCACATCGACCCATGTATTTAATCATCCTGTTCTTACTTGATAATTCATTAACTTGTGGGGTAGTTTTGCCTGGCCATATCGACCACATAAAGCTGTGCATGTTTTTCGAGGATGGAATGAACCATAATTGTAGGAAATTTGATCACAAATCTTGAACATTTGCGGAACCAAATCCATAACCTAGTCCAGCCTTGGTAACAAATTATGCAAATGCGATGAGATGTGATGACACTGTTGTGTTTCCGAATGTTTTGTATGTAGTGGGGTTTAGATGCGTTGTTCGACCTAGCTACATGTGTACATCAAAGTAAAAACCCTGTAGGCCTACACATTTTTTTTAAATACCTGAATTGACATTAGTTCACCTACTTCACCAAAACCATAGATGAAACATACTCCGTAGTTAGTCTATTCCAAAACTTGAACACAATTCTAATCCTCAAGTTACTCATCTTTGACACAATTTTCAACCCGATTATCGAAAACTGTCATACCAATAAATGAATTTCTGGTGTTCTTTCTTGAATTCAAAAATAAGTGGTGATTGAAAGTAGGAAAAAAGGCAAGTGCCAACCTTACAATATATATAAGCTAACCCGATAAGGAATAATTATATGTTCCTTTGAAAATGATATGTCACACTTATTTCATAATTTAAAATTTTCTAAGAGCAATACAGTATAGATTTTTGAACAAAACATTTAAAACGTATCATAAAATCATCATTTTGTTGAAACTATAAAAAACTTGCCATGCAGTGGAGAATCAATTTAAAATCATAAATAATAATGTAAACATTTAATTTTGACAGTTTCAGTAGACCTTTGAATACAATTTTAATATTAACAGCTGGTTCATTAAAAGTAGTGTAAAATTATCCATATGGTCATAATGTAAACAAAATTGCTGAGTGAACTTTAAAGGCCTCTGGGGCAGAGCCCCAAGGAAATTTACCTCGTTTCTCTTTTGAGGGCTCACCTACAGACCAATACCTTTCTTTAGACACCCCTACCAAGTTTCTACACCCAGCCGTTCTCTCAAATTAGCTGCGACAAAAACCCCGTTTTCCTCCATAAGAATAACATGGGATGGGACTTTAAAGGCCACTGGGGCAGAGCCCCGAGGGAATTTACCACGTTTCTCTTTTGATGGCTCATCTACAGACCAAGACCTTTCTTTAGACACCCCTACCGAGTTTCTACGCCCAGCCGTTCTCTCAAAATAGCTATGACAAAGAAAAACAGTTTCAAATTAATATATAGATTTCACTAATATATGTTAGAAAATTACACTACAGACAGGTTTGGAACTACAGTGTTGTGATAGTTTTTCGTTTACAATACAAACCATTCAACATGTTATTTATGATTATACCTTAAAATCTATCATTGATTTTGTATACAATGTAGCCTAAATAAGTGTTCACTGTCTTAGTTAAAAAAAAAACATACTATTATCAAGTTAAGTAATACAATTCAATATTGTTTCTTAATTAAATAGTAGGAGTGAAACCCTTTTTAAGGCATTTTTAAAGAACCAACATTGTCTCTTTTGCATACTGATCCCATTGCAAGGCACAGGTATAACTGCTAGTACTATTATAAAGAAGATGTGGTGTCTGTCTGTCTGTGTATTGTATGACCTAAACTCAAAAACTACTGAACCGACTGGGCTCAAAGTTGGACAAAAATAAAGCTACAGCTCCGAGGATACAAATAGAACTATTCCCGCTTCGATATAGACCTAACACTCTGCCTCGCGGGCTTTCAAAGATCTGAGGTGAGAGTTTTAAAAGTACATATTGATTGGTCTCAATGGTAACAAAGAACAAACCCACACAGTTTAAATTGTAAACATGTAAAAATAAAATTGTAGGTAGGCCTACTATTATCAAGTTAAGTAATACAGTTCAATTTCGTAACTAATTTAAATAGTAGGTGTGCACCAATTTCAAGGCATTTTCAAAGAACCAACATTGTCTCTTTTGCATACTGACCCCGTTGCAAGGCACGTGTATAGCTGCTAGTTCTCCATAAAAATAACATAGTAATTTTCAAATGTACACTTTTTTGGAAATTTGTCTGTAACCGTTAGGTATACAACACGCTTCAGTATACTAAATTATTTGTTTTTTTGAGATTTACAAAATAGTTTAGAAATAAATTGCAAAATGTTATGTCTTTAGGGTGTACCACTGCCGTCTGAAGCGAATTTCCATTTGCCTGACTTGATTTTAAATTAGATCTATTTAATAAAATTAGGTTTAACGAGTACTGTACCTAAGTTTGCTGCTACAGGGAAACTAATGAAGTGTGTTATTTTAATAAAATATTAATAGTTTAGTATACCTAACTATAAGATGAAAAAACTTTTCAAGTTTGATCAAAATATACCCATAAACAAGCAAACTACAACATTTTACAATAGTCTCCATAAGAATAACATGGTAATTTCAAAATAAAAATTTTTGAATTTTCTCCGTAACCAAAAAATAACCGTACAAAAACACTTTGATGTACTGAATTATTTGTTTTTTAAGCTCTTAACAAAGGTCTATACAGAAATTAGAAAATTTTGTGTTTTAAGGGTCAAAAATGAGAAAAATAAATTATCTCATAAAACCCCGTTCCCATAGCCCAATCATGCTGCTTTGCTCATCCAAGCTTATCCCGCCTTACACCTTCAAACCAAATTTCATTAAAATCGGATAAAAATTACTCAAGTATCGTGTTCACAGACACATATATTTTATATTGTATTTATCATAAATAAATTTATATTAGAATAATAAATTTATATTTATAATTTATATTATTATATTATATATTTATATATACACATATATACAAGTATGAAAGTTAGAACATATAGTGTTTTTGGCCTCTGGGGACGACAAAATGAAAAAGTAAATCAGTCCCGGGCCTAGGTCTCACTGTGCCACCTACGGTAATAGCTACTTCCCTATAGGGAAATTAGCTAAAAATGGGAAAACCCCATTTTTACCCCATAAAACCCCCATTCCAATTACAAAAATAAATACCCCCGCCGCAGCAAACCTGCAGACTAAGCGAATTTCAACTTGTCTGATTACATATTACTAAAATATTTCCATAAACAAGACATATTTATTCCAAATTTAAATAACATTAGATTTAACGAGTGCTTAGGTTTGCTGCTACAGGGAAAGTAAACAGTGTTTTTTGACCAAACGTCAATAGTATAGGTTGAATTAAATAAATTTGTCAAATTTGATCAACATATATCCATAAACATGTAAACTACAACAGTTTTAATTTTCTCTATAAGAATGACATGGAAATTTTAAATTTGCATTTCTTTTTATTTTCTCAATAACCATTAGGCATAAAAAAATGCTTCAATATACTAAACTATTTCTTTTTTAAGCTCCAAAAAATGGTTGGGAAAGAAATTCCTAAATTCTATGCTTTTAGGGTCAAAAATGAGAAAAACCCATTTTTACCCCATAAAATCCCGTTCCCATGGTCCGATCATACTGGTTTGCAAACTAGTTTGAATAAATGTATGTTTACACGTTTATTGGCCTATATTTGGAATCGGGTTACCTCTATCAATTAATTGACTTTAATTACTCGATTAATGAATTTCCATTAGACGCATCGTACAGTTTTGTGCTAGGCATAAGAAATTTTAATTTTTATTCAAAACACATAAATTCCACTGATGAATCTACTCTAAGAAATAAATAAAATTGTAAACAAAAATACCCCCACCGCAGCATACCTGCAGACTAAGCAAATTTCAACTTGTCTGATTACATTTTTACTAAAATATTTCCATAAATGACAAATTTATTCCAAATTTAAATGACATTAGATTTAACAAGTGCTTAGGTTTGCTGCTACAGGGAAGGTAAAAAGTGTTTTTGACCTTATGTCAGTAGTATAGGATCAGTCCTTTACTAATCAGGACAGTGATTTGAAATAAATAAATTTGCCAAATTTTATAAATATATATCCATAAACAAGTAAACTACAACAGTTTTTATTTTCTCCATAAGAATAACATGAGAACTTTAAATTACACTATTTTTTAATTTTCTCCGTGACCGTTAGGCATTCAACAGTGCTTCAATATACTAAATTATTTCTTTGTTTAAACTCTACAAAATGGTTTCAAAAAATTGAAAATTTTTTGGTTTTTAGGATTAAAAATGGGAAAACCCCATTTTT